ATAATTTTATACTTTTATCCAGTGCTCTACATTTTAATAATTTGAAAATATGACTTAAATTTAGCTTTCGGGTAAAATTATCTCTTTACACACAGCTATAGGACAATTAGTTGTCAAACATTTTTATTATTGTAGGCCTAAAGTGATTATTTTTTCCAATTTTTCTGTTTTGTGTTTTATTGGTAGGAGCAAAATATACAAACAATTTTCTGTATTGTATATTTTGTATAACCATGTGTTCTACAATTTCATAAATGCAATAAAACATAGTGTTATTGTAATGGAAGACAAAGACTAAATACATAGTGTGAGGGGAAGGATAACAAGAAGGTAAAGATAATCAGGGCAGGGTAGATAATCAAAACTGGAGGGAAAGCAGACTAAGACAGGAAATTAAATTACAAATTACGAAAGAAAACCGGAAATAACAAAAGAAAACCAAACAAAATGACATACTGAGGCTCTGTACTGCCCAAGACAAATACTTTTTCAGCTTTAGAGTCAAATTATCTCTTTTACACACTGCTCTAGGACAAATGGTGCCTTATTATACAGATAGCTGAGGTTTTTGATATAAAACACGTGGGTATGCCGTGTTATGAAAGTTCCTTTAAAGGTGAATTTCAGAAGATATGTAAAAAGCGAGAATTGAATATGCCATTGGACTCCATAGGGGAAATAGTTCAAAGGTCTCTAAATTAATGTGTTAAATTTCAAATTCATGGTGGTTCTGTTGGGTCTCCTTAATAATGTTATAAGGAGTTCGGTCTAGACCTGCTCTATTTGAAAGGTGTCCTGAGATAACTTTTGTTATGAATTGGCGCTATACAAATAAATTAAATTGAATTGAACTGAATAAAATTTGAATGCATTTGACACCAAACCGTGGTGGCCAGGCACGTCTCTATATCTGCCCCGAATAAATCTAAGAGAAAAATTTGATACCATCCATACATGAGGTCCATCATGAGGTCGATTGATCTTTATTGAACTTTAAGTGAGTTCTGTGAGTCGATATTGCATGAAAACAAATTAAAACCTTACTTTACATTCATTTTAGTTCAGCTATATAAACATGTCATTTCAAGACGCAGGTAGATAAAATCAGCCTGAAAAAGATCAGCAGGCTGGAGGAATAAGGTCTGTCTTGATTATTTCCCACAGCAAAACGACTGAAGCCGTCAAGGTGACTCAGACCGAGCTCAGCAGATGAAAGCGACCGACCGATCGATCAGACTGACGCATCAACGTGATCAATCGGAGAAGCATTTCACAGACAGAAGAAAGAAAGAGAAAATCTCTCTGCCTCAGACATTAAGGGAAACACTCAGTGAGTCACAATCAGCTGGAATCTGAGAAAAATTTTCAAAAAAGATTTGTCACAGACTATTTGAAGATGTTGAATGAACCTTCATATTTTGGGTTAGGGTTAGGCATAGGGTTATTTATTTCACCAAGAAAGTGAAGTTTTTCATCCTCTATGATTGGTTCTCAAACTTTTTGGTGTCAAGGAGCCCACATTGATAAACATCAGGCCACCACGGACCCTTATTTGGTAAGATGTAGTCTTAGGAATCCACATCTGATAAGATTTAGTTTTTCCATAACTGTCTACAAGCACTGGTTCCCAACCTTTTTCCTTAAGGACCCCTTTTCTATCGTTGATTAACTGACTCTGTGACATATTTTATGGATATTTCATATTATACACAACAGTAGAGAACAACAACAAACCCAAACAGTTCTTAAAATAACTGCAGGAAGTAATTTTTTATGAATTCTGAGCAGATTATTTTCTGTGAATATTGATAAGATGAGTTTTCCTGATATTTTTAAGAACTTTTTATACAATTTTCTGTCTATATTATGTATTTTATGAATTTCTAACAATCATACAGACTTAATAGGTTTCTTTTTGACAGTTCCAGTGTTTTCTTCTCTTTGTTCTATTAGCTCTTTGGTGGTTTGAACTTTCATTCAAATATTTAGTCTCATTCAGTTTTCATTTTGTTATTTTAATAGAAATTAACAAAATACTGAGATATCAGTGTACTATGTATATTCAGAAGGCTTTGTGACCCACCCTGGGCTTTGGTAACTTCTAGTGTGGGTCTCGACCCCCAGGTTATATTGATAGAGCCTTCACTCGCTGATAAATAGAATAGAACTATGAGAAGAAATCAAAAATAAGCCTATTTATTCTGTATGATTGTTAAAAAATACATAATACAGACAGAGAATTGAATAAAAAGTTCCACAAAATATCAGGAAAACTCAAATATATGATCAGTATTCACAGTAAATAATCTGCTCAAAATTCCACCAAATCTCTGGTTTTACACAAACTTCCTGCAGTTATTGACTTCAATGTTTAGGTTTGTTGTAAAGTTTAATGACCGCTGTTCTCTACTGTTGTTGAATACAATATGAAATATCTTTACAATATAATCAGTTATGATAAAAAAAAGGGGTCCACCAGTGCATGATGACTGGAAGTTTTGTTTCCAGTTGTTTTGTCAAAGGTGCATGAACTATAACGGCGTATCTGACGCCATATTTTACAAAAAGTGTTCCTGCTTAGCTGATTTCTCTCGTTTCGGACTATTTTGTGTTTGACTGTGATTGTTTTTGTTTCATTGTCCAGGAAATTATTGAATGTATCTTTTGTCAATTCTACGTTCTTTTGTGTACCGTTTGCATTTGGGTCCCGAGTTGTGACTTGTGAGTTGTAACGAGCAGCTGTGGTTGCCAGAACTAAATATGGTAGAACTTTTTCTACTATTATGGTAAAACGATATTAGAACTGTTGATTTTAAGTGACATTTATTCCATATTTTACCACATAAATAAAATGTTTTACCATGAAAATCTACAGTTTTGCCATATAAAAATAACATATGAAAAAAATAAATATATATATATTTATAAAAGAAAACTTTATACTATATAAATTCCTAGAAAATGCTGTATAAATAAAGGTTTTACCATGAGATTTGAAGGTGTTTTACTGTTGACTGCTGAAAGTGTATTTAACCTGTCTTTTACTGTTATGGTGTGACATGTTTACAGACTGGGGAACAGACACAGATGAGGTAAAACACACAAACTAAACACACAAAGAACTAATTAACCATTGAAGCACAGGTGAGGAAGAGGAAAACAAGAAAATGGTGAAGATATTCAGTTAAAATCCCTTGCCACACACGTCCATCCATGAACTCTCATCAGTGTGACAACAAAAAACAATTTCTGTAAATCTAACATGAATATTCTGCATGTATTTGTCGGTGTTTGCATTATGAGCGCTCCATCACAACGACTTGCACCAAACTTAATGCATATAAACGGCTATTTTTGTATTTCTGAATCAGCAGGACTTGCAAATCTGAGCCCGCAGCTCTTGAGAAAACTTTGCTGTCCGGTCAAAAAGCATAACATGACGAATTCCTGGATGTGCTGTATAATACCGTCCAACGAGTAATCCTCCTGACACTCTGAGTCACAGATTCAATTTCTAGGAACAAAGTGCAGCATTTGAAGGTCGAAGATATTAAAACATGGTCAGAGAGATAAATCATTAGAAGTGGGTCACCAGCTGTCAGCTCGCAGGGAAACATTACGCCTCATTACACCTACTCTGATATTTCTTTTACAAGATAAGAGCTCCAAATTGAAATTGAATTCAGGTTTTTCCCGCCTGATGTTTACTCTCCATTACAGCCGCACAAACTGATCACATCTGGACTTTAAAAAAGTTTCTCTCTCTGCAGTAAAGACGCTTTTTGGTTCGAAAGCTGAGGATGAGGGAACAAAACATTTTTTTGCTGGTTATATATTTAAACAGCGTCCTCACGTTTCTCCTTCTCACGGAGAGGATAAAGAGTGCATTTCTCGCTCATTAAACAGCATATTAACAGTATCCATGGAAATCCGGTACCTCCATAGTAATATATTTTGAGTTTTATGACTTTAAAATGATATCCCATTGGTTTTATGGATTTTTTTGGTCAAAATTGGACATAGGAGCTTAGTGCTGTAGATACAGGACAGAGGTCGGTGCTGTAGATACAGGATGGAGGTCAGTGCTGTAGATTTGTAGAATTTTAAAAGTTTGACTTTTTAGTTTTAGGGTCAAATTATCTCTTTACACAGTGCTCTAGGACAAACAGTGCCTTATTATACAGATGTTTTTTGGGTAGATCATGTTATGCAAGATCCTTCAAAGGTGAATTTAAGAAGATATGTAAAAATCGAGAAAATGCCATGAGACCCCATAGGGGAAAGTGTAAAAATGAATCTAAATCAATGTGTTAAATATGAATGCATTTGACACCCAACTGGGATGGGGTGATCATTAGATATAATTAGAATTATGGTCCTATTTCAATGTTTTTATCCTATAATTTACATATTTGAGTGTCCTTATGTTGTTTTTTTGTGCAATTTTGCTCCGTCTTCAAAATATATTTATCTTAAATCAGAGGTTTCTAAACTTTTTTTCTCAGTCATTTTTTGTTTTTATCTTTTAGGTTTAGTATTCACAGTCCATCAAGGATGAAACCAACCCCATCTCTTCCCCTGTTGTTCCAACTGCCAAAAAATGTGATAAAAGTTCAAATATTATATTCCTCTTGTTGCTGGGGAGCCCTTACAACCTTATCAAGGACCCCCGTTGGTCCCCAGACCTCAGTTTGAATACCACAGTCTTAAAACGTAAAAAGAATAAAAACATAAAATGATAAAATACAGTTAAATACAATAAAAACTAAAACAAATTGTAAATACGCAGTTGTAATCAGCTAATCTTTTCCTGAATGCACGTGCGTTGTTCCAGATGTGTGTGCGCGCGGTGCTGTACTGTACATCACCGTGTCTGTGAGTCTGGTATGGGCGTGCGCCCGTGCTTGCACATGCGACAGGTCCGTGCGCTCTCCTAACCATGTATCCGCGCACGTGTGAGCTTGTGCGTGCTTGTGGATGTGAGTGAGTGACACACTGACCTCTCCGCGTGTCTCCGGGTCCCGGCGGCGCTCACAGACCCCGGTTCACTCTTCCGTGCCCGCGGACGGAGACGCTCGCGCGGCTCCCGGTTGCCATTAAAAAGATGTGGAATACAAGCTCGAGGCGGTTGTCTGACGGTGGCTGCACGGTTGCGAGTTTAAATCCACATCCTCCTCTGGATCCTCGCGCGTCCGTCCCACCAGAACCTCCGCTCCTCGCGCCCCTCTCTCTCTCTCTCTCTCTCTCTATCTATCTATCTATCTCTCTCTGTTTAGAAGAAGCTGCTCGGGATGCCAGGTCTCATGTTTGTTTCCCCGTTTTGTAGAAAACCAACGGCACAGTTCCGCTTCAGAGTGGCGCTCGCATCCACATCACTTTGGATTAACGGAACCTGCCGGTGAATTCGGCCATGAAGCGCCCCGAGGAACCGAGAATGTCCGAAGCTTTAACAAACACCAACCGTCCACAGGAATGAGGACAGAAACGCGAGTGAGCTCCTCTTCTTCTGCCCGGTCTCTGGTCGCTCCGCCGCTGGTGCCTCCGTCCGTGCGCTCTGGACACGGGAGTGAAGCGCTTTACGCACCGCGCGTAAAAGCCGAGTGGAGAATCAGGGGAGAGCGTTTTTTCTCTCTTTATGGAAGGTTGGGAGGCGAGCTGAGGGGAGGGATGGGTGAAAGAGGGAGGGAGTTATAGGGAGAAGGAGAAATGGTTTAAGAAAGAGAGAAAAAAGAGAGGACGTGGTGGTTGTTGGGAGGAAAGGGATGGAGAAAAAGAAATAGGGAGGAAATAGAGAGAACGATTTCAAACAAGGGAGAAAGAAAATGGAAGGAGAAAGAGAGGAAAGTCAAAGAGGAGACGAAAGAGGATGGGAGGGAGGTGGAAGAAGCAAGAAGGAAAGGAAGGGATGAAGAAGGAAGGTAGGAGAGGAGGTGAAAAAGGAGGACAAAGAAAGGATAGAAGATGAGCATGTGAAGAGATTGAGAGTCTTGGGAGGAAGAGGAGAGGGAAAGTAAGAGAAGGAGATGATGAAGAGGAGGAAAAAGAGGTGTATCTGCTCTTTTTCTCTCTGTTGCTTGTCAGAGGCTCCAACCAGGACTCTGACTCTGGAGGAAGGAAAAGGTCATATAGCTCAATCAATCCAAAGTTTGGCAGCCATTTTAGGACACCTCAGACCACTAGGGGTCGCCAAAGCATCACAAGGAGGTTGGGAGGCCTCCAGACCAGGTCATCAAATAATTGAAAATAAAAGTTTTATTCCTCCATTTTACTACAGTTTTCCTCTAAACCGTAACTTTGGCCCCAAGAACCAGTTCATATTTAATCATTTATGTGATTTTACAGAAAATGAATCTTCTCACCTTTTAGAGGACGCTGTAGAGACTTTTTGTTGCACGTACATTTAACATTGCTGTACGCATATTTATTAACCTCAACAAGAACAGATTTTTACACCAGGTCTAAGTTATAAATCTGCTTGCGTCTCCAGAAAAAATAGACCCATTTGCATCCAAAGAGTATATTTAGGGGAATACGGAAAAATGCATTTGTTCTTGTTGGTCTAAAGTCTTGAAATTTGGTACCGACATACTTTGGTCAAGTATCTAACAGTACACATTTGAAATATTTATATAACATGACAAATTACACTTTTTCACTGGCCAAGTCAGGATTTTTATAAATTTAGGGGAAAACATTTTTATTTATTAAATGTTTTCCACAATTTTTTTAAAGCTCCATATAGAGTTAAAAACCACCAATATCTAAAAAGTGAATGGTAAAAATGTGGCCTAAAACTGGATAACGGCTAACAGACTGAGCCTAAAGCCACCCGGTCCAAGGTCACAAGTATCGGACTGAGCGAGCGCTTCTAACGTTACCTCAGCTTCGGTTTCTATGATGACTTAAGATCCAGACGTCTGATGACAAAAATCCTTCATCCAATCCAATAAAATCTGCGGTCAGATGATATTAAATGCTGAAATACAGAAAAATACGCAAACAGTTGAATGGCATCAACGTGTTACTCACTTTTGCTGCCCTGAACGTCAATAATTCAAATCATGAATCGAGAAGCCGACTCTAAAACTCACGCAGCTACAAAATTAACAGAGATAAAGAGAGGGCTGATGGGAAAGGAGGGCAGAGTTCCTCGGCCCCGAATGCTAGCAAAGTCAGCTAAACTGCTTTTGAACCAGCCGCTAGTGCCGCTTCCTCGACTGCTATTTAGTGTGATCATCATTTCAGCCGACAGCGCTGTCAGGAGTCCTGCAGATCAGCAGCTCTGTGGTGTGTTTGGATTTTATAACTCCACCATGAGCCAGACACACTCTTTCCCCCCTCCACTGACAAAATGTTTCCACAATTAAAACGTTAAAACACGAATCTGGGAGGTGAAACGTGAAATTCTTTTAGACTGCGGGAATTTGGTCCTAAATTTCTGACTGTCAGTCAACAAAAGGTTAGGATTTCTTCAGTGTTTATGGTTCAGGAGGTTTCTACCAGGAGCCCAGTTAAAGAGGTCTCCTTCTCTCCAATAACATATATATAATACAGGAATAAGTTTCTTAAAATCAAAATAATAGCTCTTCCCACTCCCAACCTACCAGCCCTCATTAATTACTGCCATGCTCGCAGAGCAACTACACCATAGTACAACAACCAGCCACCTCCAACTCATCTTCACCCTCTCCCATCTGGGGTAGATATAGACAGCTGCCTACAAAAAGGCACGCTTGGAAAAAGTTTTGTACCCTGCGCTATTAAGAGCGTAAACCTCACTAATATATGTTGTTATTGTATATGTGTAGTTTTGTGTTTGTTGAATTAATGTTGAAGGTGCTCTTTGTACAGACTGTGAAAACAAATTTCCTCCACTGAGGACAATAAAGACAGAATCTGAATCTGAATCTGAATCAAAACAAACATACCTACTGATTAAAACTGCTAAAAACAGGTGAGCTGAGTACTTGCTGCAGCGGCCCAGGGTTCGAATCCGACCTGCGGCCCTTTGCCGCATGTCATCCCCTCTGTCTGCTCCCTCTTTCCTGTCTGTCTTCAGCTCTATCATAAAGGTAATAAAAGCCCCCAAAAAAGATCTAAACAGTGAATGGTAAACATGTGGCTTCAAATTGGATAACAGCTAATATACTGAGGCTAAAGCTAACAGGTCCCAGATCATGATATCATGCTAACAGACTGAGCTGAGCTCAGTACACAACAACATATATAAAAATAGGTTTAGTTTTTATAGACATTTTAATAAAGAAATGTAGCTTTAAAGCCAGTATATTGTACTTAATATAATAACTTTTGAAGTGCATATGTAAAATAAGGCAATAACATGATTTTTGTCATTCATAATTATGCCTGTTATTTTTCACCTCAGCAGCAGTGCAGTACACTCCACTTAATATGACTCGCAGAAACAAAATAAATAATTTTTCAGGCCGACTGGATAAATTGTTCTGTGCAGTGAAATAACTGCCAGTCATGCATGAAGGTAATTTGTCCTCATTCATCACACAGAAAGCTGTGGATAAAGATATCACAGCAAACAGAGTCATTTTCCTGACAGACTGAATGAAACGTGGAGGATCAAGTTAACTAACAAGCGTGTTTCATACGTCTGCTCTAGTGCGCTGACACCAGCAACGGGAAACACCTTTAGTCCTGTCTTATTTTGAAAGAGCCGCTCATGCTGTTCGTCTTAGTACTTAATCACATTCACACTTGGAGCTTCCCAGCAGTCCACTGTCTGACTCCACGAGGTTCAAGAGCAGACTTCTCACCACCGTCGTCCCCGTATAATCCAGTATGGTCATAAACTGCTTCTCCAAACCTTCAAAATGCAACTTTTCTACCCTTTAAAATAACAGCTTCACTATCATTTTGATGCTAATTTGTAATAGTTTGAATGGTGATAAATTAGTAGCCCTACAATATTTTATAAGTAAGACTAGATCTTTGTAGTACTCCTTTACTATTTTAAATAGTATTACTGTTAACTGCTCGGGCTATCATTATTATTTTAATACCAAAGGAATCGCATTTTTGGAAGTCTTAACATACTCGAAAACATTTGGAGGTAATGCAAATTTAAGAAATAATTTGACTTATATTGGCAAAATGGCTTAGCCACGCCCCCCAGAATCAGCCCCCAAGGCATATAAGACGACATGTATGAAAACGCATGTATATCATGATCAGACAAGAAAAAAAGACCTTGAACTGGAAAGTTTACTACCTGGCAAGTGCATAATCAATTCGCCAGAGAGCGCAGCAGAAAAATATCTGTGATGAGAACAGCCACAAAAGCGAGCTAATACATCTAATAAACAATAAAAGACCACCTATGACGGCTAAATTGTGTTTTCATTAATACAATGTGGTCGCTGTAAAGTTTCAGTTAACTGAAAAATGAACTGAAAATGTTAAATTAAAAAGAGATTTATTAAAAATCAATAAACCCACTATAATGCCACACTCATGTATATTGATGAGTCAGATTAAAGCTGCTCTTTCACAATAAGAGCACAGTGAACAGCCTGGTGATGGAAGTCAAAGCGACACTCGTAGAGGAATTTGACGAATCCCAAATGGACCAGCTGCTGCGGTTCGTAGTTTACATCAACCGGTGGTGTGTGAGTGTTGTCAGGAAGCCTGGTTCATATCGACCTGTCGTGTGTGAAAAGCGTGTGTTTGCAAGAGCTTATGCTGTGCAATGCGTGAATGTGTCGGGTACTGCAATGAGGATATCGCATGTTAACTATGTGTGTGAGAGTTCAGTTCGGTGATGCATGAGGTGTGTATGTGCTTGTATAGGTGTTATGTCCCGAGTTTGAAGGTTGTTGGCAGGGCGCTAATATAAAGTGAAAAGGAGTGTGCAGTGTGGTGTTGGTGTACCAGAGTTCGTGTGTGATGCTGTGTTTCAAGAAACCGCTCTGAGGACGGAGTCAGCAGAGCGTTCAGGATCAACACAGTGCAGCAGCAGAATATTTATGTCATAGACTCCCAGTGTGAGAAAGTGAGAGAACTGAGATTGAAATCCATCTGTGAATATGTCTGTTGTTGAGAGGACAACGGTGTAATTATCTTTAGATTTAAATTTCTTGTCATGATAATTATAGCAAGATGAAGGCAGAAATCATAACAAGATCAAAACCGGGTTTTACCCAGCCGAGGCAGAAGCTCACCCACTGCCTGATCGTAAAAGGAAACTACTTAAGACCTCATGTGTAGGATTTAGTGGCATCAAGCAGTGAGATTGCAAATTTCAACCAACAGAAACCCCTTGACTCAACCAAGCGTGAAGGAGAAACAACTCTATCAATTTGGTTTTATTTATTGAATTGAAGTACTGGTAATAAAATATTGGTTTGTTGTTCTGGGCTCCTGTAGAAAGATGTATGTTCAGTCTTGAAACTCAGTCGGCAGAGGAGCCAAATAAGAAATACTCTGATATAAGAAGTTCTGATATAACTGATACTAGCAGCATCTACGCTAACCTCTATAGGAGTGATCAGCATTTTCAATCTGCA